ACAGCGAAGAAAAACCAAAAGCCCCCCCCCCCGGCTCGAGCGCGCCTGCGAGGCCGAGTCACTGGGAAGTCGCCGCCGTCGCTGCCACGGTCCCGTGGGGCCGCACCTCTGCCGCGGCCGGAGGGCACGGGCCGGGCCCTCGCGCCGAGAACTCCATGTGTGCAGCACATACCAGCCCAATGCCGTTTAGCGTGATTTCACGCCGACGAGGACAACAATGAGGACGATGATGATGACGAATAATATTAAAATCACAAGCATCTTCCGGTTCTTCTTCTGATACTGCTCTGCCTACAGAGAGAGGAGAAAAGGCAGTCATTTTCCCCAAAACCCCAGTCATTTCCCCCCCATCTCCGGGCAGGCTCCTGTTCTACCTGGCCCCTGTCAGCCCAGAGACTGCCCTCCACAGGGCAACAGGGTTCCCGGAGTCCCCGGGGACTGGCGCTTGCCAGCCTGGCTTTATGGAGGCCCTGGCTGGGCGCCCAGCTCCCTCTCAGGGAACACCTCCTGTCCTGGCTGCTCTCGGGACACTCATGCCCCACCTGCACAATACACTCCACGAACAACAGCCCCAGAGGACTGGTCTTCTACATCCCTAAATCTGGGAACACACAATCCAGCCCTAAGTCAAAGTCGGTGAGGGTGCAGGGAGCACCCACCTGGCGAAGTCTCCTGAGGCCAGTGACCACGCAGAGGGCCACCACAGCTCCCTAGGGACACGCCACCTTTGCACCTGGCCCCGTCCCAGAAGCTCCACATGAGCAAACGAGTTCTACGAGGCCTCAGGGCCCTTTGCTGGGGACGGACACAGGAGCCTGAGAATGGAAGGCTGGAGAGCAGGGGTGTGAGGGTGCCTCTGAGCACACCTAGCCCGCGCTGGCCTTCACAGACAAGGCAGAGGAGGAAAAGGCAGCCACACGGCCACCGCTGGGAGAACAGCCAGTACCTCTGTGGTCCACGGTCCCAGCGGCCTGCCGAGTGGCAGTTCTGCCTCCCCTGCAGGAACCCTCACTACCGAGCCTGCAGGCCAGGCTGGCATTAGTCAGCAACTCCCTGGGGCTGGCGCCCGTGGACACCTGCCTGGAGATGCCAGATGCCGGCTGTGCTGCTGACCTTCCAAGGAGCCCAGGACCCGGAGGCCGGTGCCGAGCCGCCCGCTGGCCACCGTGCCCATGGTTACAAAGCAGAAGCTGCAACCGAGTCCCGTTCCCACATCGGCTCACCCCTGGGCCAAAGCTTGGCCTTCTGTCTCTGTTACTTGTCATGAAATGTGTCTCACTAGTAGTTTTCATTTAAGAAACTTCAAAACCACTGCACAATTCAGCAGCATGTCAAAACCTGGGTGCTCTAGCGTGAGAACCACAGCTGGTTTTGCCGTTGCTGTCTTGGGCTCGGCACCCGGTTCATCTCGTGCACACAAGGCATCCCGCTCCTGCCTCCCGCCAGTCGCATTTCCCCAGCACGGGCGGCAGACACACTGAAGGGCCAGCAAAGGGTTTCTGATCAGACCCGGGCGTGGCTGGACTTCTGTCGACCTGTACTGCCGTTAGAGGGGCATCCCCGCTACACGGGGCAACAGACTTCAGGACCAGGCGGGGGCAGCACCGGGCCGGGGAGATGCTCACTGGCTACACGTACCACCCATTCTCGAGGACAAGCGGATGGGGACAGAATTTCTCTCATTTGTGAATTATTATTAATTTTCAAGAAAATATCTATCAATTATATAATGTATTAACTGCTGAGTAGTGTATCTACGTTTCTTGTAACTGATGACAACATTTCTAAGGGGTTTTCCATTTGTTTTGAAAAAGAAACAAACAAATATCATGAAAAACCGGTTGCCCTGCAGCGGCCACCTCGTCTGCGGAGTAAGGGGCCGACGCTCCCCCTCTGCGAACCCCTGTGCTTGAGGCCCTCTCGCAGACGTGCTGCAGTCCCTGAAGGGGAAGTCGGATCTGATCTGCAAAATGGCCTTCTCCAGCACTGCCTGGAAACGGTCACGAGAGACGCCGGTGTCGGCGACAGGGCTTTGGACACATTTAAGCACATGCCCATTCAAGTGGTTTCCTGGAACAAGCGACTCAGAAAGGACGGCTGTTCTATGCAAGGAAGGAAACGCGATCCTTTTGGAATGAAGGGTTCACAGCAGTTGGGGGTATACGTGAGGCCCCCTGGACTCACCCACTGCAGGGAACGGCCACAGCCCACGGCTGGGTTGGAACGAACAGTGTACGCTTCCACCCGACTGGACGGAGGGTGGGCAATACAAACAGAAGTGCAGACGGTGCTCACGTCAGAATCATTTCATGAATTTTTGGTTATTTGATAATACTCAAAATTCTCAACTACAAGACATGCTATTACCTTGTGAAGCTGTTTCAAGCCGTCTTCGGTTTTGATACAGGACTGCTCAACATTATAGTCGATTCTGTCGAGGACTGTACCCTGGTGATAAATGACAGTAACAGGTGGTCAACGTCCACGACAAGGAAAACTGAACCGCACAGGTGAGATGGCGAGGTGCACCAACGGAGACTCCACCCTGCGGGACTGTGACTCCTGACTGCCATGAGGCGCACAGACGGCCCGGCCCTCACCCCGGGCAGTATTAGGCTCCTGAGAAGGAAATGCGGGCACATTACGGTTTCCTTTTTTGAATTTGGCCCCTGTAAGAAATAACCACATTCAGACTTTCTGGGGCTTTAAAAACACACGGTTCAGTGGCACAGGCTCTGGGCAATAAGAGCAGAGCTAGCTCTGGGGCCCACCGGGTTCAGGTACACAGAGAACTCCAGGTAAGCACGACTGCTCTGATTAGGCCTACGAGTCAGCTACGTCCGTGAACGTGAACACAGGTGTTCCAGGGGTCAGAGCAGGGAACGGAAAGCTCCACCCCACCTTTAAAATGAAAAATTGGGCCTTGAGGAGCATTCTCTTCTCACTGTTTAGTCCCTCAGTTCAGACAGGAGGACAGACAGGAGGAGGACGCCGAGCTCCAGGAAAGAACAGGGCTCTCACTGGAGACATGCCAGGTTGGCCGCGGTAGCAGCTCCCTGGGGACTGTGGAGTAATTAGCGTAACTGAATCTTCCCTGGCCTGAACAGTCCATTCTGCAGTGGGTCTCAGGGAGACCGGGACCCAACGGCTAACAATTTAGTTCTACTCCAAAGCTAGTGTTCCATCCACCATCACACAATAACCTGCCCGAGTTAAAAAGGAAATCTTGAATGTTGCCAGGATCAGCAAAAGCCAGGCGCTCACACAAGGACCCGAGGCCTGGGCAACAAGAAGCAGAGGTATGTCTACCTAAAACAAGCTCACGCTCCTTTCCTAGGAGAGGCCAGCAGTCTGCGTCCGGAGATGAGTACGAACACGTGTTTATGCACACGCAGGGGGACTGGGTGTGCGTCCCCGAGGTAAGTACGTACACGCGATCTGTGCACACGCAGGGGACTGGGTGTGCGTCCCCGAGGTAAGTACGTACACGCGATCTCTGCACACGCAGGGGGACTGGGTGCAGGCTGTCTTCCTGTCAGGAGTAGGGGCCGACACCACGGGGGCCAGGACCAGATATGACGACAGGAAAGCCCATGGGGGAGCAAGGGTGTCTCACGCACCTGCTCCACGATCATGGCCCCCAAGTCCCGGAAGATCTCATTCAGGTCCGAAATGGACTGCACGATCTGGCGGATCTCCCGCTCCCTCTCTTCCACCATCAGCGTGTTCTGCTCCACCAGCACCAACTGGTCATCCGTAAAACCCTGGTCAGAGGACAGTGCAGAGGGGCAGGTGAGCTTGCTTCTCCGGAGAGCGACGGTGTGCCAGTCTAGATGGGCTCTGCTGAGACTGAATGCTGACAGCTGTCTCCAATAACGCACACCAACAGTAGGCCCTGGTTTTGCCCTAGCAGGGTCTCAGGGTCTGTGGCACTACGTGGGGAGGAGGGGAGACTACAGCACTGTGGGGGTGTCTATAGTAGTGATGTGGGGTGTGCAGCACTGTGGGGGGATCTGAAGCACTGTGGCCAGAACCGTGGTCTCAAAGCGAAGCCTGCACTGTAGTGACGACAGGCCTAAGAGCAGGACAACCAGGAGAGACCCTATGGCTCTCCAGGACCTGCCCCAAGACATGCGGTGCAGCACGCCTTCCCAAAAGTTCCGCAAGGCAGATCACAAGGTCTCCCTGGGCCTCTGGAAAGGAACAAACAGTGCAGCTGCTCTTTTGCCTGCTGCAAAAATCACTTTGGACACAGAAGTCAGCAGCACCGACCCGTCTGCACAGCACAGAAGCAAGAGATCTAGGAGAAGGGACAGGACGGTGGCACAGGGCGGCAGCAGCCCTGCGGCCCTCACGTACCCGGTCGTAAAGGGTGTGAGCGTCGCCATCATCCATGAGCGGTACTGACGTATCGAAGAAATGCTGGGACCGTTCCTCCCGGTTCTTCATGCCTGTCGGACAGGGACTCACTGTACTCACAGGTGTGAACCATCCTGCTTTCCGTCTCACCATTAAAAGGAAGGGTCCAGAGTAGAACTCGGCAGTCAAAATGGACGTACTCTCAGCAGCTCTAAAGAAGCCGACTTCCCAGGGGCGGGGCAGTAAAGGGGACGACGCGCACCTGGGCACGTCCACTTGGTCACTCAGGACAAAGGCGCGCTGTAAACATGCACGGTCCCTTGACACCAAGACCAGCGACGCAACTGTCTGAGAACCTCTAAGTGAGGCAAAAATACGGGATCTAACTGCTGCTACTAAACATTTTTTTAAATATCTAAACATTTAAAAAAAATCAATATTTCTCTCTAGAAGCATCCCTGTAGGAATTAAAAACAGCCCTAATCAAATTTTAGAAGTAATAAAATTAAGATACAAATATTCCAGTTGTCAGAGGGAGGCAGAGGTGGGTGGATGTTTTCTTCTTTGGGAGGACAGGGAATGTGAGCACTTAATTGATTATATGGCAATAAAGACAACCCCAGGCTGCAGATCATGGGGACAAGGCTGGCTGAACTCTGGCTCTGCCCGATCCGGGAAGAAAGGGGACCCTGGGTAAACGTGGGCCCAGCAGAGGTGTGGAAGCTGCTCCCAGGAAGGTGTCTGGAGCTCTCTCAAATACTGTCGTTGTTATGCAAAGATGGCTTCTGTGACATCAACTGCTCCTTACCTACTTATGAGAAGTCGTTCTCTCGAACACCGAAATCTAGAAAGCTACAGGTTTCCAAATGCACTAGGATAACTTTCTACTTCTTCAAACCCAACTCGGATATATCTTGTTTGCTTAGATGTGGGACGTTTTTGTGCCCTTCCCCAGCCTGACCACACCCACAGCTGGCCTGCTCCACAGGCAGGGGAGGCTTCCTGCTGGGTACCAGGTGTGAAAGGCTCGGGGGCTAAGGACGAAGATGAAGACGCGGTGGAAGGCAGAACCTGCGAAACGGAAGCGAAGGCCACAGAGGCCTTCTGTCCGTACTCCAAGTCCCTTCACAGGCCCAGGTCCACTCACGTTTGAGGTAGCCCGACTGTGCGTGCCGGAAGCTGGTGGACAGCTCCTGCAGAGCCTGTGCCAGAGACGCCACCACGTTCCGAAGCAGTCGCTCCTCCTGCACGGAGCAGGCCCTGCGGGCCCGGCTTGGCAGGGCCTGCACGGCACGCTGGCACCTGTGGAAGAGCTGCGAGAAGGCGGCAAGGCTCAGGGCTGCCCGAGGAAGACGCCCCCTCACCAGCATCTGCCCCGAGGCTGGCGAAGAGAGGGGGGATTGTCCTGTTCCTGCAGCTGGATGGGGAAAGGTGCCGGGCGGAGGAAAGCTGAGGCCTGTTTACACCAGAGGCTTCTCCTCGTGGGAGCCCTTACAGACGGCCCGCGAGGCAAGCACTCATTTCTCCAATTCCCATTTCACACTGGAGGACGCTGGGGTCAGAGGGACTAGGTGAGAATCCTGCCACTGCGACACTGTCAAGACTCAGGGCTCAAAAGGGCCACCGAACCCCGTCTCTGATATTAGCAACCAGGAGGTTCAAACAAACAGAAAAAGTAGGGACTAAAGTTTAAGCACTCGTACTATTTAAAGAAGTCTGCTCAGGTGCTGAGTTTCTGGGTTTTTTGAGAGGTTTTCGCTATAGGGCGCGTGTGCTCACCAGACAGACAGAGACAGAGAGACAGAAAGCGAGAAATCACTCCCCAGCGGAGATGGCCAAGCTGCAATCCCTTCTCCTCCATTCTCCTCTCGGGATCTTGGGCACGCATGCACATGCGCCCGGCGTGAGTTTTAAGCCACCG